CATCTTAATCTCTAATAAATATATTTTTCAGACAAAACTAATCAAAAGAAGAATACACTAAGTGGACAGCAAAATCCTGAACGTCTATGCCCCAAACATAAGGGCACCTACATTCATAAAAGAAACATTATTAAAGCTTAAATCACACATTGAACTCAACACATAAATAGTGGGAGACTTCAACATCACACTCTCACCAACGGACAGAAAATCAGGAGAGAAGTTCAATTAATCAAATAATTAATTAATTAATTAATTAATGATTAAATAATAAATAAATAAATAATAAAATAATGAATCTAAGAGAGGTCATAAATCAAATGGACCTAACAGAGGTCTATAGAATTTTGTACTCAAACACAAAAGAATATACTTTTTTTTTTCTCAACATCACATGAAACCTTCCCTAAAACCGACCATATAATCAGTAACAAAGCAAACCTGAATCTATACATGAAAATTGTCTTAAGCAATTTTTTCTTCTTTATTTGGTACCAGGGAATAAAGCCAGACCTCTACAACAAGAGAAACAAACAAACAAACAAACAAACAAAAACAGTCCATTCATGGAAACTGAACAACTCCCTGTTCCATGAGCTCTGGGGGAGGGAAGAAATAAAGAAACAAATAAAAACTTCCTAGAAATCAGTAAAAAAAAACAAACTTCCCCAACTTATGGCACACCATGAAAGCAATGCAAAGAGGATAGTTCATAGCACTAAGTGCCTTCATGTAGAGATCCCATATTAGCAACTTTACAGATCATGTGAAAGCTTTAGAAAACAATAAAGCAAACTACCCCAAGTCTAGTAGATGGCAGTAAACAATCATATTCAGGGAGAAAAACAATATATTACAAACAAAGAAATCCATACAAAGAATCAACAAAGACAAGAGTCGGTTCTTTGAAAAAATCAACAAGATAGACAAACTTCTAACCACATTAAATAAAAGACAGAGAGACAGTACCCAAATTTACACAATCAGAAATGAAAGGGGGCACATAACCACAGCCACTGAGGAAATCCAAAGAATCATTAGGTCTTACTTCAAAAACATATATGCCACAGAATTTGAAAATCTAAATGAAATGGACAATTTTCTTGATAGATTCCACTTCTCAAAGTTGAATACAGACCAAGTAAACAATTAAATAGTCCTATGTCTCCTCAGGAAATAAAAACAGTCATCAATAGACCTATAAGATATGACAAACATAATGAAATCTATACACCTAAAAAAGATAATCAAGAGAGCAGACATGGGGTAAGATTATCAATCCTCGTTTAGAAAGACAGATGGGATGCGCATTGAACATATGACAGGAGTCTACGGAGCACATTTGAAAGACTCTAACTAGCAGTGTTTTCAAAGCAAAGACTCATGACCAAACCTTTGGAAGAGTACAGGGAATCATAAGAAAGAAGGGGAGTTAGTCTGATGAGGAAAGGATAGGAGCTCCACAAGGACCAAATATATCTGGGCACAGGGTCTTTTCTGAGACTGACATTCAACCAAGGACCATGTATGAAAGTAACCTAGAACCCCTGCTCAGATGTAGCCTGTGGTAGCTCAGTAACCAATTGGCTTCCCATAGTGAGGGGAACAAGGACTATTTCTAACAGGAACTCAATGGCTGGCTCTTTGACCTCCCTACCCCCCAAGGGAGGAGCAGTCCTGTTAGGCCACAGAGGAGAGCTTTGCAGCCAGTCCTGAACATACCTGATAAAAAAGGATCAGATGAATGGGGAGAAGGTCCCCCTATCAGTGGACTTTGCAAGGGGCACGGTGGAGATGAGGGAGGGTGGGACTGGGAGGGAATGAGAGATCGGGATACGGCTGGGATACAGAGTTAATAGAATGTAACTGATAAGAATAAAATAAAATAAAAAAAAGAAAAATATAAGCCCACGATCAGACAGTTTTTAGTGCAGAATTCTACCAGATTTTCAAAGAAAAACTAACACCAATACTCCTTAAACTATTTCACAAAATAGAAACAGGAGAAACAGTACCAAATTCATTCTATGAAGCCACAGTCACCCTGATACGAAAAGCACACAAATACTCAACATAAAAGAAATTTCAGACCAAACATGCTTATAAACTGTGTTGTAAAAATACTCAATAAGGTACTTGGTAACTAAATTCAAGAACACATCAAACACTTCATCCACCATGATCAAGTAAGCTTAATAAAGGATTCAACATAGTTCAACATATGAATATCCATCGAATATAATCCACCATATAAGCAAACTGAAAGAAAAAAAATCACATGATCATCTCATTAGATACAAAAGCCCCCTTTGACAATATCCAACAGTCTTTCATAATAATAGTCTTGGAGATATCAGGGATACAAAGCCCAGACCTAAAACATAATATATATATATATATATATATATATATATATATATATATATATATA